TTGCCTTCACCCTCCCTCCCGCTGCTGTCCCGGTCCCGGACGTGCGGGCGTGCAAGCACCGGTTCCCAGGCACTGGTGTTTACCGGGCTGCAGCTCCGGTGTCCTAGTGCTGGAAATAAACTTCTGAAGGGAGCGGGGTGAAATGTGCCCCACTGCCCTAAGCTGAGCTGGGCCTGCAAAAAGATTAAGGCCCAGCCCCAACCTCTGCCTAACGTTACTGGGGGATGTGAGCAGAGCTTTGGGGTTTCTGAAAGAAATGAGGCAACCTTTGTCCTGGGAAGCTTGGGAAGGGGCTCCCTGCCGCAACTCTGGCATAGAGGAAGCCTGATGCAAGGGAGGAGAGACACAGCGTGGGAAACCAGTGCAAAAGGGTGGATGTGTATTGGAAGAGGGTGGGCTATTGATGCTCTTTTGGGATTGCTGGAAGATCTCAGTCCTGGAGGACTGCAGCAGCTGGGTAGCTGGGAAATGGATGTCTAAAGTAGTGTCGGCACCTGGGGAGGTGACACCTGCTGTCTCTCTAGTATTGCAGTTCCCAAGCTGTTAAATCTCATCACAGCAACAAAAAAAATACTTGCTGGGACAAGTTGTCACAAAGCCAGGTGATGAGACCTTAGTGTGGATGGCTGTTGGGTTTTTCCTAACCAGCTCAATTTCTTGTTGGATTGGCTGTGATCACAGGGCTGCCAGCTGCCCTACCCGCTCTGCCTCTGGAGCTTACCGTCCTTTACAACTCCCTGCTTTTTACTGTGGGAGCATCTGACTCTGCCATGGAAGGAGAAGCAGAAGGAATACGCCAGGGGCTCCTCAGGGGTAAGGAGACTGTTCTCTGTACGGGGGCTCCTTGGGACGAGGAGATTGCTCTCTGTGCTTTGGAGATGTGCGGTGGCTGGCCAGAGGCAGGGGTTCTGTGAGCAGGGATGCCTGGCTGTGCCGGGAAGGGCAGGAGGTGGGGCGGCTTGCAGCCAGGGACGGTGTGCAGCTGCCTGTCTGCAGGGATGGGCCAGAGGTTTTCAGAGAAACAAGAGTTTTCAAGGCATAAGGTGCCAAGTCTCTAGCAAAGTTTCGATGATGGTAGAAAATGAGTTTTCTTTAATTATGGTGTGCTGGCTTCAAAGAAAACTCACTGAAATAGGCTGCAGGTCAGAGGGGGATCTGCAGTGTTGGCACATGCTTGCCCAGGGGCAAGCAACCTCAGGAGGACTCAGCAGAGCTGGAGTCATAGCTCCGAACCGTGTGCTGTCTCCTGAGTGTGTTAACTCCGCTGTCCAGGAGCTTGGTTTCCATGCTGCTGAGGCCAGGCCAGCCCTGTTAACCCCATTCCTTCCCTTGCTATGAGGAGCCCATGCTTGCTTGATGCTTTCTCTCCCTCTTGGGAGGGTGTCTGTTACAGGGCACCAACCTGTTGTCTCACGGCTGGGACTTTTTTGTTTGTTTTTTCAGTTCTGGAGGCTTGTGGGGCCTGCGGGCAGGATCTTAGCACCGAAGAGCTGTGGCAGAAGGTGCTGCAGGAGGTAACTGTGGAGGAGCTGCAGGCACCTCTGCACCGACTGGGGGCCCTGCAAGCAGCGTGGTGGCTGGCAGCCAGCCGCCTGGGAAGCACTGCCGGCCTCTTACGGCTCCTGAGCAACGCTGAGGTAACTGGCCACGGGCGGATGCTGCACAGCTCCCGGTTACCTGCGCTGGAGTATCTGCGCAGATATAAATACCCGCGGGTTTGCTAAAGGAGGCAGAGCTGGTATAAATACTGTGTTTGTCATAAACCCCACTCTGCAAAATGTTGCTGTGGCATCTGGAGACCTGAACCCATCAGCGCCGCTCAGTCAGCATGAGTAGTTCTCTCCCTGGTGTCCCAGCATAGCCTAATGGCCCCAAGTGCGTTAATGGGTCCCAGAACATCTCCTGCCTGTCCGGGCCCTGGACCTCAAGGTGCGAGACAGGAGACTTGGGCAGGTTGGAAAGGGGCTGGAGGTGGACTTGCAGCGTCTGTAGGGAGCAAGCTGCGAGCAGTGGGATGCAGAGGAACCTTCCCTGCTGATTGTGAGGCCACTGAGGGGTCCCACCTTTTTGAACGCCCTCCAACAGCACTTGGATCTGCCTTGCCGGGAGCCCGCTCTGAGGTGGGGAGGTGCTGCCCTGGGCCAGGTGGGAATCACTGCAGCGAGTGGGTTGTGGTTGAAGTGAGGGGGTGGTAGGGCATTGCTCCCCAGCACAGAGAGCACTGTCAAAGGGTTTGGTGGGATCTCTGTTCCCCCATACCCTGGGATCGGTGTTTCCTGCTTCCCTTCAGCGTTTCCTGCTCTCTCTCCTCTGTGTATTCACAGGACCCGGGAAGAGCTCTCTGCAGCAAGGGGGAGAACGAACTCCTCTCCCTGCTCAAGGCATGGCGAGTACCTGCTGAGGAGGCCTCCCTGCCCCTCGTACAGAGCACTGAGGACTTGAAAGAGATCCTCTGCACCGCAGCAGCCTTCCTGCAAGGTTTGTGTGCAGGAGGTACTCATGCCAGCACAGCCTCCCACTGCTCTCCTGTCCCAGGGGCCCCTCTCCCTGCCCTTATCCTGGTTTCTCTTCCCAAGCAAACCGGCCCTTGTGGTTTTCTGGGCTGTTCCTTTGGAATAGGGCCTGGGCTGAGCTTCTGGGTCTCAACTTTGCCATTCAGTGTCCAAAGAGCTTCTCTGCTTTTTGCCCAGCTAAGCCTTTCTCTGCACTGTCACAGGGTTCCTCTGCCTGTCTGTGGCTTTAGGTAGGTGTCTGGACCCCACAGTGATCTTGTATAAAGTGGAAGGCTGGCAGGGGCCTTATGAGGATTTTCCTTTCTTCTGTCTGTCTTCTGGCACTTGCCTTATTGCAAGCACATTGTTCCTGTCCTACTACAGTGCTGCAGGAGCCATGCAAAGCTGTTGTGCAGCTTTGTAGCCCGGTGTCACAGCAGGTGATTGATTGCTGCATTCTGTCCCACTCGCACTTTTCACTCACTCACGGTCTTGACAACCCCAGCAGCTCCGGGGGCAGCCAGCGCTGCCTCACTGTGCTCAGGCTGGCATGGGGCCTCCCTGTGAGGGGGGGGCAGGAGCTCCTGCCCACAGACGTCTCAAAAGCCTTTAGGGTGGCGATAGCAATTCCAGCAGGGAGGTGGCAGAAGTTAATGTAATGTAGGCATGTGACAGCAGCCTCAGGGAAACTTGAAATGAGGACTGAAAGAAAAGCAAATACCATGTGCAACAAACGTTCACAAATTAATATCCCAAAGCGTCCTGCTGGGAAATGGCCCAGATGTTCTGGAAAAAGTCTTTCTGAGATTCTGCGTGTGCTTCCCCATCCACACTGCCGTTGCTGTGGATGAATACGCGGGTGGGCCTGCCCTGCACCTACCTCTGTCCTTGTTCTGGGCTAAGGCAGGCATCTTGGTGTCTGGGCTTGGAAGCTGCTATTATTTCTGCTAGACGTTTCTATCGAGCGGCTTGTTCTCTTGCAACGCCATCAAACCAAAGATGGCAGCTTGGCACCATCCTGCTGTGCATTGCTGGCTGCGGAGGGGATCAGGGAGGTCCCTATGGTGCTGGGAAGAAAAGGGCATGTATGCTTATTTGGGGACCAGGTGGGGTGGGAACGGGAGCCGCAGAGCTGAGATGTTGGGTCTGTCCTAGGGCTGCAGGAGCTGGAAGCTGGGAACTTCCCCACTGCCCTCTCCCTCCTTCAGGAGGCTGCGGGAGGATTCTGCTCCAAGAGGGTCCTGGCCCAGATCTACACCTGCCTCGGCTGCTGTGCTCAGCGAATGGTAATAGCTGGGCCTCTTCCCTGTCGGTGGGGAGAGGCAAAACACAGCCAAAAGCAGGGTGGGATGGCGCAGGCTGATATCTACGCTGCTGCTGCGCGGTCCTAGGCTGCTGCAGGAGGGCAAGGTCTTGAGCAGAAGTTGTCCTTGTGGCCCCAGCCTCCTTGTAGAGCTGCAAAATCCAGGCAGGGATTTTGTCTGAGCGCAAAGGCTTGCCACAGAGAGAGAAACTCAAAAACCAGCCTGAGGAGGGCTGCCTTTGGCTAAAGTGCTGCCTTTGCTTAGTGGGGATCACTGGGGAAGCAGGGCAGGGATCTGGATCCCACCAAACAGTAAAGATGTCAGCAAGATGTCCTTGCAACATGCACCTCTTCCCACCTAACTAGGGCAAGCCTCAGACAGCCCTTCAGCACCTGAAACGGGCCCTCCAGGTAGACTTCCAGTGCCTTCCTGCCCTGTCCCACACGGCAGCAGTGTACCACGAGCTGGGGGAGACCGAGGCGGAGCTGCAGGCCCTGGCTCTGCTCTATGAGGTTTGTCTGCTTCCTGTAGTTCTGGGTTGATTTTTGCCTGGCAGAGCCCTGCACAGAGCTTCAAGTGGGCCTCTGACTTCTGGGGGGCTGTTTGACCCTGGAGGGGTGTTCTGGTTTCAGCTGGGATAGAGTTATTTTTCGTCCTTGTAGCTGGCATAGTGCTGTGTTTTGGATTTAGCGTGAGAATAATGCTGATAACACACTGATATTTTAGTTGTGGCTAAGTACTGCTTATGCTAGTCAAGGACTTTTCAGCTTCCCATGCTCTGCCAGGTGCACAAGAAGCTGGGAGGGGGCACAGCCAGAATAGTTGATCCAAACTGGCCGAAGGGCTATTCCATACCATACAGTGTCATGCTCAGTATAGAAACTGGGGGGGGTTGGCTGGGGAGCAGCGATCGCTGCTTGGGAACTGTCTGGGTATCGGTCAGCGGGTGGTGAGCAATTGCATTGTGCATCACTTGCTTTATATATTAGTATTACTGTTATTATGTTGTTGTTATTATTACTGCTACTATTTTACTTTATTTCAATTATTAAACTGTTCTTATCTCAATCCAGGAGTTTTCTCACTTTTACTCTTCCAGTTCTCCCTGCCATCACACCGGGGCAGGGGGAGTGAGTGAGCAGCTGCGTGGTGCTTAGCTGCTGGGTGGGATGAAACCACGACCAGGGGTCTCCAAAGTAGACTACAGCAATCCAGCCATGGTACTGCCTTTGGCAGTGGGCAGGGAGGAGCCCGTTGAGGTCTGAAATTCCTGCTCGGCACCTGGCTGTTAGATGTGTCAGGACCTTTGGGTCCCAGTTCATGTTCTTGGTGGCTTGGGAGAAGAGGTTACACTCTTGTGTCAGAAAGTCTGAGTCTCTTAATAAAGTCTCTGATAGTAAAGAGGCCTTTAAAAGGCAGATTGTGGCTGGGGTGTGTGTGCATTAGCTGTAGCAACCCTGGTCTCCCTGGGAGGAGCAGGTCATAGCAGTAGACACAGAGCTAGCTCTTCAGCTGTTTGAAATCTGTAAGATACAAACACAGCTGTGGACAGAGATCTCTCATTACAAATGGCCTAAGATTGGGTCTAACTAGGTTTGCAGCTGCAATGGGAGGTGGTGTTTTAGGCAGCTTGAACTGAAAACCTGAAGTGATCTGGGTGATCTTGCACAACTTCTGATGCTTCCTGGAGAGCAGAAGTCTGCCTGTCCCTGTGTGATCCTGGTTGCTCTTCCAGGAAGTGGCTGTGCTGTACCGAGTGAGAACAGCAGAGCTGTGCTTATGAAGTGCAGTGCTTCTGCTTGTCGGGGTGCATCCCCAGATGCCAGAAGTGGGAAGTGATTGCAGCAGCTCGGGACTTGACCAGCGTTGTGTTGACCATATTTTCTGTTCCTGTTTCACAGGCTCTGGAAAAAAACCCTCCAGCAGCTGTTTCCTCTAGTCCATACTTCCTAATCCAAACAGAGCTCCTTGTCCACACGCCAATACTGGCTTCTCTCCTCCGCCACCGCCATCCCTCTGAAGTGAAGTACCTGCTGGCACAGCGGTGTCTCCAGGATGGGAGGTAACAGCGCCTTTGGTCTGCTTGCAACACGCTGCTTGTCTGGGCCCTGTGGTTTTCTCTGTGCTCCTGGAAATAGCCCAGTTCTGTACTGCTGTTGTATGTCTGCTCAAGTCACGGGCATCACGAACAGAGCAAGTGCGGTGCAGGGAGAGCCTGTGGGCTGGCAACCCAGGTTCCACCTGGCTGCTGGCACTTTGTGGGGTTCCCCTGCTCCTTCTACCACATGTCCTGTCCCTCTTGCAGGGTGGCTGATGCAGTGGAACACTACCTGGATTTTCTGGCTCTGCTTCAGGAGGGGCTGCAGCAGCAGGTGGGTATCTTGGTGAAAAGCTCCCTTGGTGACTTGGTAGATGAGGTTTGCATCCCCATCCCAAGGCTTGGGTCTAGGGGTCACCCCTGGACTCCAGATTTCAGTGTCGAGTTTGAGATATGAAGGAAACGAGGTGGGGGCTGGCACCTCTGACCTGTGGCATGTCTGCCTTTGGATTCACACCAGAGACCACTTGCCACTGCTATTTCGAGAAACAGCTTCCCCTTCCCCAGCTGTCGGCCTGGTTTTGGATGTCCTTCACTTTAAGAGCAGGGATTTGCCACCTTGCCTCTGCTGAGCTGTTAGTGCTTCACAGCTTCTGCCTCCTGACAGGCTCCAGTGTCTGTGGGAGTGGGTCTGAGCTTTGCTGGGCAGCGGCCCTGGGTTCCCAGTAAGCACAGGGTCATTCTGCTTGGCTGGGTGCCTTGCTGTTCTGCATCTGAGCACTGCCACTGCTCTTGCTCCCCAGGTGCCCCTAGACAGTGGCTCAGCTCTGCCCAGGATCCCCGAGGTGTTCCTGGAAGCAGCATCCGCCTTGGAGCAGGCCGGGAGGCACCAGGATGCCATAACCGTGTGCGAGGAGGTCATCAGCCGGACGACTGACCTGATCCCACGGACGTTACGAGTGGAGGAGAGGCTGGAGCAGCTGGAGTGCCCGTCGCCAGGGGCAGGGCTGGCAGATAGACTCCTGTCCCAGAAGAAGGAGAGCCTGTGCTGCCTCGCCTGGAGAGCAGCTGGATACCTGCACCAGGGCTGGGCATGGGCCAAGCTGGGCGAGAGCAAGGAGGCCGTGACGCAATTCAGCAGGTGACGGAGCCTCGCTGGGAGAAGGGGCCTCCCTAGCAGCCAGCGGTGGCTGGCAGGGGCCGGAGCAGGGCGCAGCGTGGCGGCGGGGGCTGGCCTGACAACATGCAGCTGATTTCCCAGCCTCAGGTACTGGTACTGAAGCTCCTCTGTCCTCCTACCTGCAGGTGCCTCGGCGATCTCTTGCGAGTCCAGCTTTATGGGTCCAGCGCTGAACCGGCGGGTAGGACGCTGCACAGCTGGGACCTGTGCGGGGCCTGGCTGGGTTGGGATCTGCATGCTTGGCAGCGGTGGGTACAGAAGCAAGGTGCCGGGCCCAGCGTCACCTCTGGCAGGAGGCACTTGTCCCTGCACGCTGAGCTCTGTGCCACACTGGAGCCACGGAAAGGACCGGCTGGTTTGGTTGGAGCTGGGTTTGGCCTCATCTCTGCCTCCTTCCCTGCTGTCTATGTGGCAGTTAAATGGGTTGTGAACCGGGAGGCTTCTCAAATCCAGATTTCAGGGAAGAGATCTGTACCATTTGTGCAGATGGGCAGCCACAGGCCAGGCTGCTGGCGAGGTCACTGTTCACCAGAGCCACGTAATGTACCAAGCTCTGGGCATTCTTCGCTTTCCCCCTTTGCTGCCTCCTGGCCTCTCCCAGCCCGGCAGAGAGGCTGAGCTCTGCCACAGGGCATTTGGGAGCTGGAAGATGAGCAACCCGAGTAAATGTTTAGCCTGTCCTGACTGCTAACCTGGTTCAGCCTGCTGGGACGAGGGAGGGAAGGTCTGGAGGATGCTGTCTTCAGGTCTGTGTGTCTTTCCATGCCAGAGAGTCTCCTGCCAGAAGTGGAGGTGCTCCAGAAGATCAGGTTGCTCTCTCTCATCGGGAGAGGTGCACAGTTCCTGGAGCTGGGGAAGCACAAGGAAGCCTTGTTGGATTTCCAGCACGGTTTGCAGATCTCGCCAGGTAAGAGGCTCATTTTGGTGAGGAGCAGACGGTATTTCCACAAATTTGTCCTGGGCTGCTTTGCTGTCTTCAGCAGAAAGGTCTTATGCTTTAGACCACGCTTATTCAGGTATCAAGGACTAGCAATGTTACGTACTTGAGGTGCTTCTCTGGGGCCTGGTCAGCTCACTGCCCTGGAGAAGCAGACCAAAACTATAATCAGAGTGTATCACAACCTGCCCACAACCTGTGCCTTGAGACTGCTTGGAAATTTCTCTTCTTCCTGCCCAAACCCCAGCCTGGTACAGCTGGCTTTCTTCCAGAGAGGCTCTGCTTTCCCAGAACAGCAGCTGGACTCTCGCTTCATCCCTGGAAGGCGCACGTCCATGCCTGGCAGCCCAGAAGCCGAGTACAGAGGCTGGTCAGGGGAGAGGGTGGCGGAGCCGTGAGCCGTACGTGTGCCGAGCAGAGCCGAGGCTTGGCTAGTGCTGCTCCCAGGGATGACCCTGTTCAGTGCTCCAGCTGCGCTGACACGCTGCAGGGGTGCGAGCTGCAGGAACGGTCAAACCTGCAGGTCCCAGTCCTGACCAAGGCTCCCTCTCTTCGGGGGTGCAGCTCTGTCTGCAAGGAAAACCCCAATGTGTGTCCAAACAGGTGTGGCCGGCTGTGCCGCGGGGCTGATGCCATCTGCCTTGGCTGCCAGCCCCGGGGTTAATGAGAGCCCGTGACACATCCGGGACGGTCTCCTCCCCATTACACCACCTCTCCTCACACTCACCTCCCATATCTGGTTTCTACCCTTCTTTTGCAACACCCTGCAACCCACAGCAGCACTGGGGACCTGCTCCTCCCCTGCTAAGGGCTGAATCCCCCTTTGTGTCTTGCAGGTGATCCAGCTGCTGCCTCCTACTTGGCGCAGGCCTTGTGGAAACTGAACCGAAAGCAGGAGGCGGCAGCTCACTGGCAGAAGTTCTCCCAGAGTGCCCCTGGGGAGGATGGGCAAGAGGAAGGGCAGCAAAGGTGCGTAGAGGGATGGGTGGGATCTCGGCTGGCCGCACGAGAGCTCCAGCAGCATGGTCCGTGTTTCAAGCTGCATGGACAGTTTAGTTCAGCTCCCGCTAGCCTGTGCCCGCACCTCAGGTGTGTCTGAGGAGCTTCCCTGCACGGCCGCTCTGAGAGACCACGGGCTGTGGCTCTGCAGGGACCCCCCAGGGCACAAAAGAGCTGACACGGAGCCAAATGGGAGGGCAGAGGCTGGGGGCAGAGCCGGGGGCTCCACGCAGCACATGGGGAGTGAACTTCCCAGTCAGACCATGGCAAGGGAATCATAGAATCGTTTAGGTTGGAAAAGACCTTTAAGATCATCAAGTCCAACCATTAACCTACACTACCAAGTCCACTAAATCAATTAAGGGTAGAGTAATAATTGGCCTTCTTAGACACCTGACCACACTGCTGGCTCATGTTCAGCCGGCTGTCAACCAACACCCCCAGATCCATAGCTAACAAATAGTGATTAAAATTATTTCTAGGAACCTGTGGAAAACTTTTTTTTTATTGCAGGCCGACATATTTATCTATATACTCATACAGACGTACCTACCTACATATGTGTGTACATGCATCTTTCATTTCTCTTAGTATCACTTTAAAACTATCATTAGAGGGAAAATTTAAAAACAAACCCAAAAACTCCTAAATTGAAGTTATATACTACAGTTAATTTCACCGATCCTATTTTCAGTGAAAACAAGAGCACAACATCTTTGGCCATGAGGTATTTGATCAGTTCATTAAATGATTCTTTAGAACAACTGACTGTATCTTCTCATTGGTGACAGAAAATAAAATCTCATCAGTGGTTGACCTCGGCAGAACTATTGTGTGACTCTGAATATATTTTCGGCCACTGATGTGCTCATCTTTCAAACCTGACTTCCCTACAGGGAGAGGTACAAGTAGGATTTGTATTTATGATTACCACTCGGGGGGTAGAAACTAATATTCACCTCATTCATGAGCGTGCAGCTGAATGATCCTGCAAAAGGCAGGGGTGCTAAACATGACGCTGGGAATGGCTGTAATATCATAGAATCATAGAATGCCACAGTCCTTGCTGCTGCAACCCTCCCTTCTCTTCCAGGCCCTTCCCTTTGTACCTGGTTTCGTGTCTGAAGCAGGCGATGTTCCCACACAGCGAACCTCTTGCCAGAAGCATACAGGATTACCTCAGGACCACAAGCCGGGACCCCTCAAGCTAACCCGGTCAGTCTCCCCATCCCCACTCACCGACGTCTCCCCACACCAGGCTAGCACGAGGCCTTTAAGGATTCCTCCAAGACTCAGAATTACTCTTGGATAAAGCTGGGTTCCTGAGGGACTGAAACAGAATAGATCTCCTTTTCTAATAAAAGCCTTGGCTCTATTTAGTTTTAAGTTTTACTACACCCTTTTTCCAGAGCAATCCTTTGCAGTCATGGTCTTGGAGCTGCTGTGAGCCCGTGGGCCGTGCCCTGGGTGTGTGGGACATCAAGGGCAGAGGCGTCCTCACTGTCTGTGCCGCTGTACGCAGCGGGGACAGCTCTGCGGCGGAGCCAGAGGGTCTCATAAAGCAAAGGGCTGTCAGATGGTCCCTCTTACCCATGCTTTGTATCCTGCATTTTTACTCGGTTGATGTAGTTTGGAGCCCAGAGAAGCGGTTTTGGCTGAAGCACGCAGCTGTGGGGGCTGACTTCCACCGCACTGGGCTAGCAGTGGGGTCGGTGCCAAATGCGTGGCGGGGCTCTGGGCCCCTCTACGACGGTGAGCGGGGGTGAAGGGGCGCCTGCTCCTGCCCGGCGTTTGGTGCCGCTGATTTTGGGCTTGGATGGTCTCATGCGGGGGAAGAAGCGGTTGGGAGCGGCCAGGCAAAGGCCGAGGTGGGAGAGAGGAAAGAGGACAACAAACATGGGGAGCAGCGTGAGGCGGGAGCTGCTGTGC